ATTATACTTTTTTTCAAAAGTAAAATAAAACAAAAAAAAAATTTATCGTAGTCAACTCGATCGAGGAAATATGAACATCATCAAGACGTAACATTTCTTCCCTTGAGGCTATTTCAACAAAAAATCTTCAACAACAATGATTTTAATTTCAATAGATTTTTTGTTTTCTAAGTAAAAAGTCAAATCAATCCAAACATCTATTTATATTATATTGTCCAACGGCTAGTTTTTTCAAATTTAAAAATAGTTATTGGAACTCGTCACACCAACGTGATGAGTTCTTCTAGATTTTTTATTCAACCGTTGGCCAACGATCCACCCAACATACAAAAAAATTTCAAAATTCCCCGACGTGACGACTTCCTTTACCCATTTAAAATATTATTTTTTAACAATCTTTTTGTATTTATTACCACAAAAAGTATAAGTTTTTATTAGGATTCGTCATGTTCGCATGATGAATTCTTAAAGATATATTAAATATATTTGACCCACGAGACCCACGTCTTTCAAGTCTAGTGTAGCAAATATCGTATTTTCTAAAATAAAAAGCAAGTTGCCCTAGGGCTAATTAAACGGCCCGCCAGTATTATTGCACTGCCTCAAAGTTGCACGAAATATTATAATAATAAGAAGGAGGAGGAGGAGGAAGAAGGTGCAGTAGACATAATTAATGTTGACAGTATCATGTTAGACAGCGTGATGATTGTTTTTTGTTTTCTTTAAACTTTTTAAAAGGTATTAAACTTTTTCATTATTTTAAGATAAATATCTCATTTCATCCTTAGCCAAGACATAATAATTGTTGAAAGGAATCTTCCACTACTTTTTATTATTATTATTAGGTTAAACTACATTAGATACCATCTAACTTTAGGTATTATATCATTTATAACACTTAACTTTCAATTTTATCAATAATAGCACTAAATATTTATTTTCGTTTCAATTATACCATTGAACCGTTAAATCATTAACGGCACGATGATGTGATTGATGGCTGCCGAAGTGGCTGGCGACTTTTGAGTTAGACACCTCATCAAAATGATGTCGTTTTGATCTTAATGTTAATGATTTAACGACCCAGTGGTATAATTGAAACAAAAATCAAAAGTTTATTGCTATAATTGGCAAAATTGAAAGTTCAACGGTATAAATGATACAATGCCTAAAGTCGATGGCATCTGGTGTAATTTACCCTTATTATTATCATTATCATTATTAGGGCAAACTACATCAGATACTACTAAACTTTAGGCATTGTATCGTTTATACCACTAAACTTTCAATTTTGTCAATTATAGCACTGAACTTTGATTTCGTTTCAATTATACAACTGAATCGTTAAATCGTTAACGACACGATGACGTGACTGATGGCTGCTAAGATGGTTGGCGATTGTCGAAGTAGAAACCTCACCAAAACGTCGTCATTTTGATTCGGTTGTTAACAATTTAATGACCCAATGATATAATTGAAACGAAAATCAAAGTTCAGTGCTATAATTGGCAAAAATGAAAGTTCAGTGGTATAAATGATACAATGCCTAAAGTTTGATGATATCTAATGTAGTTTACCCTTCTTATTATTATAACATTTCATAACAATGGTTAGAGAAATTATATTACCATTTCCAATATAACATTAATATTATTTATAATATTATTATGTTAAAGTAACTTCGATTGAGGTGGGTGTAGTTATTTCTTTGTGTTTATATGCTTAATTATGCATTATCATGCACGTAATTTTCATGTACATTATTAACTCATTTAGAGCAACAAAGGATGATAATTATTGTATAGATGGATAATTTAAATGTTTTCATTGTTATTGAATTATGCTATATTCATCTATATGTATATGATGGTGTCCGAGGTATTCCAAAATAAAAACGAGTCTATATGGTTTATATGTGCATCTTATAGTACTACAACAAATTTTCTTATTAACGGTAACGAAAATATTATCACTAAAACATACATTTACATTATTATTTGTATTTTGTGACATAAAAATTGACATCCCCGACTATCGTCACCTTATGTGTATCACTAAATGTCTAACGTGATGTCTTTTTTTCCTCACAAATTGTTAAATATATTGTGATGACTACATAGAATATCACCTTATAATTTGTATTCAATGACAACTAATTATATCTTCATATAATATAAAATTTCATCATTAATTATTTACATTGTCACCAATAATATAATAATTTTATTATATAGATGAACGAAAAATATTATCACATTATGAGTGACGTAATATATCATCACCTATGAGTAATATAAATGAAGATATTACATAATATCGTTTTATATTTTTAGGGTAAATTACACGTTTTGGTACCTAAATTATTAATTTTATTTCATTTTAGCATCTAAACTTTCATTTGTTTCAAAAATCATACATAATGTTTATTTTTTGTTCATTAAGTATGGTTTTGTAACAAATGAAAGTTTAGATACTAAAACAAAATAAAATTAATAATTTAGGTACTAACATATAGTTTACCCTTTTTTATTAGATGACAACTAAGTTCATCACCAAATTATATTTTTAAGTTTTTTTTTTTAATTTCCATATTAAAAAATCATAAAATTACGATAATGATCTAATTTTTATAAATTACAATAAGGGTAAAATTTATAAAAATTACAACAATGACAATTTTTTCATAACTTTCTTACAACTGACAGTGTGGTTGTGATATAATACAATTCCTACCAAATGTATACTCACCTAATCGTTGTTTGGTAGGCCATGACTCAATATAAGGTCGGGTTACCTCATTATCTGGGGGGTTTCTCACATATCCCTTAGTTTGAACATAACGAGTCATATTGATGCCAACTGAAACCTGCTTGGCATCTATGATTCTAGATTTTGCATCCATGAGAACAATTTTTTTTTCTTTATTAAGCTAAAGGTGATTATAAAATAGTATATGTTCTAAGTATTATCAACTATTTGATAATAAACGTTCAATCATTTTTACAGTCGTTGGTGCTCGAAACCGTGATCTCTAAAAACAATAACAATTCCTTCAAGTAAAAGATTCACGGTTGATCATTATTGCTGCAACAAAAGGCTCAAACTAGATCCAGAAATCTACTATACCTTAGAGACTTGATTAGCACTTGTGGCAAGAAGGTCACAGATCTACTTGATTTGAATGATATACTCACTAATCGTAAGCATACCTTTTTTTAAAGCTTGAATTATGCAATGTAAGCACGAATAAAATGATTTTAGTGGTAAAGAAATTGTTGTTATTCCTTAAAGTCTTGGATTCGAACACCATAAATGCCAAAGGTGTGAACAATTAATGTCAAATGATTGTATCTTTAAACAAATAGTATTTTGTATTCACTCTGATTAATAAAAAATTGTTTCTAGATGAAAAAATTAAAGTCATCGAGTCTTACATTGATATTTATTGACAAAAACAATAGGGACATACAAAGATATTTTGTTTGTTGTAAAGATGGTGAAAGACAATTAAGAAGCATCATTTTGAGTAATCTATATTGCTACCATCAATATAAGTTCTTTTCATGGTTTATTTTATTTAATAATATAAAATTATAATTTTAAAAATGTATTATGAATTTTTATATTTTTGGTTTTTTTAAATTGTTTTAGAATTATTACTTAAAATATAAAAAATATAAAAAATATCAAATAAAATTAAAGAGTCAAATGAGATATTTTTCTTTAATTTAGCATGTCAGTATGTCACGTTATCTTCTTGATGACAATTAACAGAGCTAACAAAATGATAATCGTTTCATAATCAAATCAGAAATTTAATAATCATTTTAAAATTTTTAAAAATTCAATAATCATAAAATTATTTTAATATAATTTAGTGATCGTGTATATATTTTATCCAAATTTTAGACCGATATATTAAACTTGAATGGTAAAACCGATGGTCAAATTATCCTCTAAACACATGTAATTCGTAAATACTTCAAATTAAGTATCTATTTTTTTTCATTTTTTAGATATTTTTATGTTTTTAAAAACATTAATGTTCAAAATGTTTTCATGTATATATAATTTATTTAATTAGAAATTTCATATCGGTAGAGAGAATGATTAATTTAAAAAGATGATAAATATTAAAGGAAAATATTCTTTTTAGTAAAAATAAATTTTAATTTGGACAGTAATTTAACTTTCATCAAGGCTAAAAAAATGTAAAATTATGAATTTTATTGCAAGATGACTTTGCTTAGTTAAATTATGTATTTATTAATTTTTGAAAGTTTCAAATATGAATTATATATAGATATATATAGATGATTTGCCCACATCGTATAATTTTTTTTTAATTTTTATATACTTTTAGGATCGTTTGATGAGTGAAAATAAATGCTTGAGATTGATCCCTTGTTTTTTTTCAATGAATATCTTCTTACATATATAGGATTAGGATTCACTTCCAATGTAAAACTCACAGATTTAAGACCGTTAAATGAGTGAAAATATATGGTTGAGATTGATTCTTTTTTTTTTCCAGTGGATATGTTCTCAGTTCGTATTGTTAAGCGCAACCATCTATTTCAAGTAAAGACATGAAAATTTCTTGAGAACCAAACACAAGTTTGCAAACATGTTACACCCAAAGAACATGAGATCTGTTCACTAAAATATATGCAAATCCCTGAGCTTAAATTGTTTCACTTGTGCGTTGCATGACAAGTAGAATTAAAGACTAGGAAAAGAGTAAAGGAGAATGCATCTAAAATTAAATATGTTCTCTAAGCTCAGAGTCTTGGGAGCACTTTATGATCCTAATTATAGATGAGCAGCATACGAACTGAACCCATAGTGGCTTACATTTTAATTTCCTTTTCTGTCTCTTAATCTCGGCCGGAAACCTTGCCGGTGAACTCCATTCTTTCCTTACTTCCATGTCAGTTAGAGCAGCTATAGGTGTTCCATGGCCAGGAACTGAGCTAAGTTTGTCCACCGTAGCTACATTATCATGACTTCGAGTTACAACTGGTGCAAGGTTTTGATTCGAGCTCGGGGACTTCGGTTTCATTTCACTGTTGGCTTCGGAAAGTAGGTTCTTCAGAGGTGTGTGCTGCTTTGCATTCCAGGTAGTTACTTTTTTTATGATCTCTTGGTTCTTTCTTCCTGGAGACTCATTTGCCACATGAGTATCAGAAGGAAACCAACTGGCTTGCAAAGGCGTTGCTCGAGGGCTTTGAGCAGTCTGTACTGACCGGATTTCAGACACAAGGGATTTTGGTCACCACCTCCAGACTCAACCAGTGTTACGAAAGATGGTGTGTCGAATTCGTCGGAATTGTCAAAATGTTGCTGGGATGCAACTTTTGACTTCTTGGCTTTCTCTGCTTCAGAAAATGGTTCTGATTGGGTTGAAAGAACTGTTCCATGCACAAAACCAAGAAATGGAATTAATTCTTTGAACACAATGCATCCACTGGCATTTATCAAAGGATTAGTATCATACAAAGTCAGGGTGGCATCCAGTGTTATCATATGTAATGAATTTAAGGTATTTATCGATGCAGAAAATGCAATGATTCGTCAACGAGCATATAGAAGTTAATGTACCTGAAATAGATCCCCAGTGAGCTTCCAAACTATCAGTATGGCTACCGGATCCAATCAAAACATCACCTATGGTTGTATCGAGTTGAGGTTTAACAGAGCCATTATCAGACTCTCCTTGCAAACTTACTGTACCAGTCCCAGATGCAGCCGGTCCAGACTCTCGGGCGTGGCCATCATCAACAGCACGTGAACTTTGACCGGAATGCTCGGAATACAAAGTTGAATGCATTGAATCTTTCTTTGATTGATCTATTGAAGTTCTCTCGAACTGATTTCCTCCTCTGTTATCTACTGCAGAAGACATAAGATCCTCGCCAGCACCCTCTCCTTGTACCTTGTTATCCCTACGTAGTTCGGGTTCCTTTATTTCATCTTCCCTATTTGAAACTCTATCCAAGTGTGGACCTTCAATCTCATTCGCTTCCTCAACGACATCTGGGGATTGATTATCTGTGCTTACGGATTCGGATTTAGAGTTTGCCTTGATCGAATCCTCCACTCCATCACCACTTTCAACTACAACGGTATCGTGTTTTTCAGTTTTCTTTTTTCCAATATCATCACAATTTCCAACTTCAAGAAGGTTAGGTGCTAGATTAGCATGACATAATGTGTTTTTCGTGAGATTTTCACCTCCTGCTCCTTCGGAAACATACGTATCATCCTTGCGAACTACATTGTTCAACTTCCCAGCCTCAATATCAGTATCAGGAATCATTGATTGCATATCAGGTAAATCATTTATCATGCTTCCCGAGAAACCTGTCGGATGTAAATCATCAGCAACATGAACAGGCTGCTGTTCTTGGCGACAGGTTTTCTGGTCCTTCTCGTTCTTGGTTGTAGCTGCATCAAGAGGAGACAATGCATCCGACCATTTATGGCTCTGAAGCACACCGGCTTTCTCTTCGAAAAGCACTTCTTTGACGATAAACTCGTTGTTTCTGTCAAGTTCATAGTTGTCTTGGCAACTTGCCTGCACGAAGCATCTATCTCAACTTCTTCATCCAGCTGTTTGTCAGGACAGAATCAGATTTGCCTTGTGAAACACTGTCTCGGAGTTCTACAGATGAATCAACAAATTGTCAGCCAAACGAATTGCTGAAGTTACACTAGCATCCTCACCGTTCGATGACACAATATCAGCTACGTTTCTTTCTAAATCCATAACTGAGTTTACATTTCCATTGGTCTCTTCCTGTTTAACAGTTTCATTCACGGATGTCATAGAAGCCAACCTATCACCAAACTTGTCCTTCAGTTGAACAATATCTACATCCAGTTTCTTTTCCAAAATGGACACCGTTTTCGATATTTCACCAGCAGCATGTTCACTAGGAAGAATCAGGTCATCGGATAGGTTTCCGTTTACCTCACCTTCTTCATTCCCATTGGCATCAGTCCGTTGCTCAACAGAACATTCTGCAGCACTAGGACCATTACTAACTTCCCTACTCTCTTCAGAGATGCCCTTTAGTGTTTCCGTTTCAATTGGAACCACATCAATAGAAGAAGCATTTCCATCCTCGAAATCCTTACCATAGCTCAAGCTATCATCTTGGTGCTCTAGTGTCCCTGTCGACATAGTCGGCATGATTTTCCGAAAAGCATCTTCATTTCGGCACCTGTCAGTTGAAATCCGTGGTGGTTGTAGGATATCTGCATACATATATGGAACCATAAAGATGCTAAGCTTTGTCCATATGCAGATCAGATATGCCATTAATAGACACAAGCAACTTCTAGATATGATCAAATTTCTCTGACAAGCCATTGATGAAGTCATCTAACTCAAATAACTCGAAATAAACTTACCAGTATCTTCAAATTGTTTTGAAGAAATGGTGGCGGCAAGATATTTGTTTGGTTTGCCGACATTATCCAAATCCAAACTGTCCAACATTCTAACATCAAATCCACTATCTTGAAACCCCACCTTATCACCTGAAGAAACTTCATTTTCAGATATATTGGACATTGCTCCAATTTCACCATTACTTTCCTTCACACTGGTAATTTCCTTGAGCATTGGAACTTTAGTACCTAAATTAACCAAAATTAACACATTCAAGTATAATTAGTCCAACCCCAAACCCAGAAATTTTCTTATGAAAAGATTGGAATTTCAACACAATTTAGGAAATGGGGTAGGATTAATTACTTGGGTTTTTGTGATCTTCATCAGAAAGTGGCTCATCATCTGAAGCATTTGTATGGGGCATTTCATCAACTGGCTTGAAGCCTTCAATGGTGCCACAGATCTTCCTGTGAGCACGCCTGTGTCTTGCACTGGGATGTGGGTTTGGAAATGGCCACCTACATTTGCTACACAAATGAACTCCGTGGCTCTTTTGCCCTGCAGAAAACCAAGAAAAAAATGGTTACTTTATAAACAAGCAAAAAAGAAGTCATTTTTTCCAGGAAAATGAGTAAAAGCAAGAAAAAGATGGGAACCGGAAAACCAAACAATTTCAACCACCCAAAGAAGAATGATTATAAAACAATGAATGAAACAAAAACACCAAATGAGACCAAAAAGAAAAAGAAAAACCTGAGGAATGATTTCTTCCATGATCCATAAGTAAAAGGATAAGAAAAAGAACCAAAACTTAAGATTTCAAAGGATAACGATAAGAAGAAGAAGATGGGGAGAATTAAAGCAAAACAATGGCTTCTTTTTGGAGGAAGAAAGCTAAAAACATCAAAGAGAAGATTGAATTTATGCAGTGAGTGTACAGTAAGCAAAATAAAAGCTTAAAGGGATAAAGGAATTCAACTTTTTTTTTTTGCTTTGCATGTGTTAGTTTGCATGGTGGGTCTCTTTAACAGCCAGTGAGCCAATGATGGACTCAACTCCCTATGATGATAACATCCATTTTCTTGTTTACCATGTGCTCAACTCATCAACATATCCATTGCCTTCCTTCAAATTTGCTTCAATTCCACTATTCCTATTTAATTATTATAAAATTTGATTTAATTGAGAAATAAATATCTAAATTATATTTCCTATTAATTTTGTATGTTTAAAGTTTTTTTAAACAATCTCTAGAGCATCTCAATTGATACCTCTCGTCTATTTAGATTGTGGGTTCAATATCCCTTGAGAGTTAAATTTCTCTTCCACTCCCCCATATATAAGAATTGTTCAAAAATAAAATAAAATGTAACATTTCGAAATTTAATTAGTATTAGACTCGTAACATTTTTTCAATTTCTTTTAGTTTTATTTTAAAAAAAAACTAAAATAAATAATTAAAAAAATCCCTTAAAATCCTTAACTTACCTAATATCTCTATATCCTCTAAACCCTAAAACTCAAATCTCTAAATCTCATACGTCATTATCGAATCAACCACTAGTGATCATCCATTTTATTGTAGGATTCTTATCGGTTGGTTGTCCCCTTATTATTGTGAGTTGTTTCTAAATCATGTCACACATAAAAAAATTTCACCCAGCCATCACATGTCTCATCGCCATCGGTGAGGCTACATCGTTGCTCGAACCTTCGATCATCGCTCGCCACCAAACTTCGATTTTTTAAGGAAATTTATGAATTTGAAGATTAGGTATTTAGGAGCAGGGAGTTTGCTAAAATTATAAAATTTACTGTTTTAAGAAAATTTAAATTTAGCATTTTATTATTTTAAAATTTAATATTAATCAAATATTAATATCACGTGTCAATCAACCATTGGTCAATGAATTTTTTTTAATTGTCACTGATAGAATGATTTTAAAATGATAACGGAATGAAAATTTAGGCACCTTAAATGATAACACCAAGAAAAGTTAGACATCTACTTTAACACAATTAAAAAACTTAAACACCTAAAATAAACGAAAAATATAATTTATACATTTATTTTTCAAGTAAGCCTAAAAGTTTTGAGTCCGAATTTCATCTAATTTTTTTATTATATATGATATTAATTTATCCAAAAATATCTATCTCAATTTAAGATTTTATATTTCCATGTCTAGAATTGATTTTTCATTGTTATTTATAAACCTGTCAAAGAATCAATTCTTATATATAGATAAAATTTTGAGTTACCTCAATTTGATCCAAATTATTATTTAATTATTAAAAATCATTTTTTATTCTATTTTACTTATAAAATACATTAATATATTGATGGTAACAACTCCATGAATGTGAATTATAAGATGTTGCTTGAAAATGATAATACCTAATCATATCCCATAATAATTTAAATTGAAGAAATTTTTTCTCCCTTTAAAGAATGCTTTAATGGTCACCTTGATTTGGTGAACACATTAATTTGTATAGGAAAAAAAAGTTTATGGTTGTTAATTTCCTTTAATAGACATGCATTAACGTGATAACAAACAAAGTTAGGTTTTTCCGTTTATTATGGAAATTAATTAATAATCTAGAAATTTTATAGATTTAATGAACGGAAACACATCTTACAGATGTAGTTATTCGAATTCGAAACTTATAAGAAGAATAATACTATCTTCTATCACTGAGATCATGCAATGGGTTCTTTTTAGAGATTATTTTGATAAGGGTTGATCTTTCAAAATGATTTAATAAGGAATCGTTTTTTGAATTGAATTAAATAAGAGATTATGTCATACATACTTGAAATTAGACATCCTTAAATTATAGTTAAAATTAAATTAAACTCAAATGATCAGACATTGTAATTAACTTAAAATAATATTATTTAAAATATTAGAATGTGTAATCCTTGGAAATTTAAATTAGTCCTACAACTTATGAAAATTTATCCAATTAGTCTCATCAAGTGTGAGAACTTTCAAGATTTTAGCCTCTTCAATGGTAGTTCTTTTTGCTTCTTAAGTATTTGACAGAGCTATAAAGAATCTTTCTTATTATCTCTCCATTTGAATAAGATTTTCAAAAACTCTTGAACCTGTTGAAAATGATGGTAAATCGCTTGAACATAGCCTTTATGTTTTCATTGGGCTTTATTTTGAATTTTTGTATTTGAGAGTGAGAATATCAATCTTGAAATTCTTTAACTTGGATTGTATCCTAATAACTCCACTATAGTCATCCAAGAAGATAATGTTTATTACCTTAGCATTGAGTTGAATTAATTTTATATTTTTATCAGTTCACTGAAAATGGCACAAGTAGCTCCCCTTCTTTCTTTTAAGGAATAGAATAATCATCTATGACAATATTTCATATATAAAGATCAATTGATTGAATGAATAACGTCATTTTATTCTTTCAATAAGGATAGTTTTCTCCATTAAACTAAGAAGACTTTGTTATAGATTATGACTCTATAAAATATCGGAGGTTGATGTAGAGGTGATATAAGACTTTGATGATGATTGAACTCTCTTGAAATCTACTCAAGATATTGTTAGACCTTCAAATGAGTCAAACTCGAGTATCAATTATTGAGTTAATCAGTCAAGAATGTGGCCAATATAAGAGTGATTTGATAATATTTTTTTAAGTTTTCGCAAGATAAAAAGAAAATGACAAAATGATTTAGACTGATTTAACTTCTTTAATGAAGTTTACATCTGCTACCTTAGCTATCCACATTAAAATTTTTCTCAAATTCACTAATTTAATAAACTTTTGAGGATAAGGTGTAACCTTACAAATCCCTTAAAGATTTGTACCTCAAAATCTTAAGAATGAACACTCTCAAGTAAAAATTATAAACAATAAACTATAAGAAAATCCTCACTAGTTTTTTTTTTTTTGTGCACAATTTATACCTAGATACATTAATAAATAATATAAAAAGGATTATAATTGTAGAGTAAGCTAATATTCAATAAAAGAAAGTAAATATAGTACAAATAATGACATTTTAGTTCTATGGTGCTTACAATGCCTTTTTTTTAATCTCTTGTCTTCAAAT